ATAAAGGTGTGATTTTGATTTTATTTTTTGTTTTTGTAATTAAAAGAAAATTTCCTAACCTGATGTTAGTACGAGGCGTTGTTTGGGAGGAGACCATAATATTGCTACCCTCTCAAGTTCGTTTTATCTTTTTATCCGCGACGGTTCCCAATGCCATGGAGTTCGCGGAATGGATTTGCAAAATTCATGCGCAGGTGGTTATCTACTCTGCTCTATTTTAAACTACTGTTGATTTGCAATTAACTTGCTCAAGTATTTACGCTATCCAAACAGCCTTGTCATGTTGTTTATACTAATTTCCGTCCTACACCACTGCAACATTATATATATCCTTGTGGAGGCGATGGCATTTTTATGGTAGTCGACGAGATGGGGGTGTTTAAAGATGAAAACTTTTTGGCAGCAACCCAGTTATTGATTCCAGAATCCAGCGTGGAATACAGTAAAAAATCGTTGGTGGTGGATAATAGACGCAGATGTACGCCTTTTATTATTCGCACGTGCATTAAATCTTTTACGAATCTTTTTTTTTTTTTTTTCCTAACCGGCTTCGCGTATTTTATCAGCTGGGCCTTCTGATATCGTCAAAATAGTATCCATGATAATGCAAAGTGATCATCAGCCCGTGATTATATTTTCTTTTGGAAAAAGGGAGTGCGAAAACCTAGCTCGTCAATTGAAAGATATTGATTTGAATAGCGGTAAATAAATGCAAATATGATCTTCTTTCTTTCTTTTTTTTTCTATTTTCATTCCAACCATTCTTATTTTATTTCAGATGACGAAAAAGAACTGGTCCAAAGGGTTTTTAATAACGCGATCGAAGTGTTAGACGCGGAGGATAGGCAGTTACCACAGATTAACGCTTTGCTTCCGTTTTTGCTACGTGGAATAGCAATTCATAATTCGGGGTTATTGCCAATAATGAAAGAAACCGTTGAGTTGCTCTTCCAAGAGAGTTTAATTAAAGTGTTATTTGCCACAGAAACATTTGCTATGGGACTCAACATGCCGGCTCGTACAGTCGTGTTCTCAGATGTAAAGAAGTTTGATGGGAGTGTTCTCAGATATGTATGTAAGAATGTGATCGCGTTTGCAGTTAGCGTAAGTAATAATTATTTTGAAAATTATGCAGCTCACTTCTGGGGAATACATCCAAATGTCTGGTCGTGCTGGTCGCAGAGGAGTTGACACGATGGGTCTCGTCATTTTGATGGCTAGACAAAAAATGGAATCTTCCGCAATTAAGAATATGATATTCGTATGTATATATGCGATACGCTTCATAATTTATATACTTTCAT